GTAGTGCCCAGAGCTGGCTAAGTCACAGAGTGCTCCTCATGTCCCAGGACCCTGGTGAGGTCCACGGTTGCCTTTGGATGGCACGTCTGAGCACAGCCTGCCCTGCTGCTGTGATTCCCGAGACCTCTTGAGGACCTTTCCAGGTGCCTATTGTCAGTCCCACTCCAAACGGTCATCTCCGGCCTTTATGTTTGCTACTCGCAGCAGTCCGGCTCTGCCCACGTCTACTCCGTGGCCTGGCTGACTCGTGTGTGCAGTGTGAGCCCTTGGTCCTTCCACACAGATCACCAGCATTGTCTAGCACGGTCAAAGCAAAGGGGTGCCTGGGGACCCTTCCCCCCAGGTCTGAAGGTTGGTGCAGGTCCAAGCCACCGCAAGGGCCAGCCCAGGTGGCTTTCCCTGGGACCGGTGGTGGCAGGGAGCTTCCAGAAGGGGGTCTCTGTTGACCACCATGCTTGTAGGAAGGGGGGTAGGCCTGTGCCTGGAGCTGCTCTGGGGGTCCTGGGGAGGCACCTTCTCTCCCTGAGCTGCTGCTCCGGTCTTGTGTCACTAGATCTTGTGTTACCCAAACTCCAAACTCACTGCCATCAAGGAGTTGATCCCAGCTCACAGAGACCCCTCAGGGCAGGGTAGAACTGCCCCGCGAGTTTCAGAGCCTGTGCTTCTTTACGGGAGTAGAAAGCCTCATCTTCCTCCCTCAGAGCAGCTGGTGGTTTTGAACTGAAGGTCTTCCAAGACGGATCTGTTGCTCCTTGGGTGGTCCGCAGTGCTTTCAGGGTTCCTCGCCAACACGATCACCCCCATACGCCCATTTCTCCCTCAGGCTTCCTTAGTCAAGGCCCGGCTTTCAAGGGCACCTTGGTCCTCACCATACCGTATTTGTTTCCCACCACGTTCAAGGGGTCTCCTTTCTGCAGCAGACTCGCCCAATGTTTCCAGGAGCATCCGTTGTGGAGCCCAGTGAGATGCCCTCCTTGGCAACGTCCGTCCTTTCTGTGTTCATCCTGAGTTGGAATCCACGCTGAAGGTGGCAACCCCCCCACTCTCAGCAAGCAAGGTGGTGTCACCCGGAGATGGAAGGTCGTGAGTGCCACGAATCAGAGTCAGCTCGACAGCCGTTGGTCCAGGTACCACAGTGTCAGCCAATGAGACTCCACTTAGGTATCACTTCTCCTGGGTCATTAAGTGTACGCCCCCCCCCCCAACTCTGTCTCTTCATTCAGTCACCGTCCGCCTGTTGGCGAGTCTCACCGGTAGGGGTGAGTCACCCAGGGGCGGGAAGGCCAGGGTCACATCCTGGACCACCTGAGTGAGTGAGTGAAGCCCAGCCCAGCCCGCTCTCTGGAAAGCTCCCGTTTAAGAAAGATTTGAGCTCACAGGCTTCCTTCCATGAGCCTCCTTCAGCCCTGCGGTGTTCCCAGGGCTGTAATCCTGGGGTCAGGGAAGGTCTCGCCCTGGGGCCATGGAAAGCTTGTGAACCAATCAACACCAGCCAACACCACAGGCCTCACCAGAGAGATGCTGCAGTTCCAGCCACACATCAGGCGTGAGTTTCATGAAGACGTGACCAGATACAGCAGGCCA